CCTGGAGAGCAGCAGGTACATCTCCAGCTCGGCCACCCGTCGGCCCAGACACGCCCGGATCCCGAAGCCGAACGGCACCGACCCGAACGGATGCTGCTTGGTCCTCTCATCGGATCCTCTCAGCCAGCGGTCGGGCAGGAAGGAGTGAGCGTCGGGGAAAATGCTCTCATCGTAGGACACAGCGTAGTGGCACAGGTGGAACAGCGTCTGGGAGAAATGTACAAAGTTACGTGATTTAATTACAAAATATTGTAATCAGTTACAGCTTCTGAGAAAAAACAAATATACAGTCACGACTCAATGTTGCTGATTACAAAGCATGACATCTGATTTATATTCTTTGAAATAAAAAGCTGACAGTGATTAGTGTTAAGTATTAAATAAAAACAATGGAGAAAAAATAAAATTAAGCTGAATTTGTTTTCAGCATTTCAGGATTTGGCTCTTAAATGTCACTCACGTTTTTGGGGAAGAGATGATCTCCGACCACAATCTCATTTTCAACATTGAGTCGGGCGTTTCCTGGAACCACCGGATACAACCTGTGGACCACAGAGCAACAAAAGATATTTAAAGACATCACCTTATGTTGTCCCCATTTGTATGTTTTTCTTTTTAGCACTAGATGGCGCAATGGCACGGGGTATTTAGGTGACCTCACTGGCACAGGTGTGGGTTCTAGGACTGGGAAAAGCAAAAAAAATGTGACCATGTAGCCGTGCACAAGCCGTGTTTCTTTGGAAATAAAATGGTATTGAAAGCTAAAAACTACGTTGTGAATGGAGATTACACACGTCCAATTAGTTTACCCAGTTTAACCAATCCCTCTGTGATATTGAGTGGCAATAGTCACCACATCTTAGAATAAAAAACTAAGATTTGCACTTCTCACTTCTGACAATGCAGCCAGAACAAACAAAGTGCTCACTGCAAGAACCGGCAGCTCCTTTATACTAGGGATGGGAATTTGAAAGCAAATGTATATTCGAATATTCGACCCCCCAAAAAACGGTTAACCGGTTAACCGAAATGTACATGTCCTATAAAAAAAGAATTGGGTAAAAATAAAATGTCTAAACATTTTTTTCAATAACTTTTGGAAATAAATAAATACATGTTCAAATAATTATAGAAACCAAGTCGAATTTGTCAAATGTATTGAACTGGTGATCACAGTTTGACAGCTATAGGCCTACAGCTTTCATGTGCGGAGGCGATTCACAATCAGGCCAGCTGTAGCAAGACCCTCTCAGCTGGAACGGAGGTTGCGGGTATAGCAAGGTATAGTATGTATATAAGTTTAATTTGGCATAGTTTGCACTCTACACCGCACTCACTAACCTGGTCGAAATATTTCCACACATTACTCCTTTTTGACGCCATGTCTGTTGTGTAGGACTCTTCAGAGTGTAAATAATTACCGGACTATGACTGGTAAAATATGTTGAAAACAGGTCTCTCCTGTCAAAATGTCTATGTACTTTGCCGCCACACACGGTTGCCAAGCAGTGCTTATTGTTGTTTAGGCTGACCACTCATGTGTCGCGAGTGTTGATAGGGGGTGGGGGAGCACGCTCATGAACTGTTAGCGCCGGAACCTCGCAACGGCTGCGGAGCGCATTTGCGCCGCATTTGGGCATAAGATGAGGTTTGAGTCTGCGTGATTTGCGTGTAGGCAGGGGCAGCAGCCATATCATTAGCCAGAACTAGCTAGATCTGATGGATTTGGACATAAACGCGAGTGAAGTACCGGACGCGAGAGAGAGAGATCAGCACCTGCAGCTCTGCCCGCTGTGAGGGACCGGTGAGCGGAGCAAAACACACCTTTATACGTCACCTAACACATTTAGCTATGGCACTGTCGTATACATTGAATTATTCAATTTGATAATATGTAATCAACTTAGGCATCCCTCCCAAAAAAAGAAAAAAAATTAATAAAAATATTCATAACTCATATTCGAATACCTGAATAATTATTCGAATACCTGAATAATTTCGAATATTCGAATATTCGATTAATCGTTCCCATCCCTACTTTATACGGTGTACATATTAAAACAAATGACTCACCGAAGCGTCTCTCTGATGATAGCCTTCAGGTACGGCATGTGAGCGATGTCTTCGCTGGTGGGCACCTTGTCCCCGGGACACACACGGATCACTTCCTGGTAAAGCTGCTCCTGGATCTCTGGTATCTTTGCCAACTGGTACAGAGACCACGCGATAGTGTTGGAGGTCTGAAAAAGAGAGAGGAACACACATGCTTATCTTCTGTTTTTTACTTTGATGTTCAAGTTGCCCTCTCACTGAGCCCTGATGTTCAGTTTGAAAGCTGTCTGGGTTAGAAGTGGGCTTAATAAAGGTAAAGTAAAAGTTTAGTAGATATCTAGGTTGCATAAAACTGGTGTTTCAAAATTCCAATGGCTATATTATTGTAAGGAATTGTAGGAAAAAACGATTAATGTAAAAATTCAGATTGTTATTGTAATGTAATATTATGAATCATTTCACAACTATCAAACATTAAATGTTTTTTTTGTGAAGCATATTGTGTGATTAGATAAAAATGATCACAAAATCAGTTTTACAGTATTAATTTATGAACAAATTAACTTTTAAACTGGTGAATTTCAGAGAATTAGAAGGCAGCTTTCCTAAGTCTACCACTTTTTTAACAGGCACAATCCTGACCTTTTACAGGCAGTATTCACATTTTGTATAACTTGAAATGCACTTGAAGTGTAGTGAGGTTGTTATTCTTAAAGTCCCTGAGATTTGAAGAATACAAAAAATGTAATTATTATTTGAGAGAGAGAAGATTCACACCACTAATAAAGTCATAATTTAAGCCAACAAGAAAACGTAATGCAAGACAAATTATACTATACAATAAGGCCCAACACACACACACACACACACACACACACACACAACACACACACACACACACACACACACACACACACACACACACAACACACACACACACACCACACACACACACACACACAACACACACACACACACACACACACACACACACACACACACACACAGTCTGTACTCACGGTGTCGACTCCTGCCAGCAGCAGCTCGGTGATGCTGCCCAGGATCTCTGTGACGGTCATCTGGTCGCTGAGCAGCAGGTGTGTGAGGTACGCTCCCTCCACCTGCTGCTTCAGGTGCATCTGCTGCTGGATCTGCACCATCTTCTTCTGCACCAGCTCCTCCGCTGAGAGGAAAACAAGTTTAACATTTGTCATCGGAAAGAAACGTGTTCCTGCAACAACATTGGTGTAATATACTATTTTTTCATGTTAATATAATTTTTCTATGTTGCAATGTTGGAGGAGCCTGACGGGCCGTCTCCACAGCAGCGTTAAAAAATCTTGAAACGCTTCTGCCCATTTACTTTGAATGGGGTGACGTCACTTTCCCTCACTTTTCGCCGAAATGCATTGTGGGCAGGCGAGCGGAGATTCTCAGGATTTTCAAGATTCAAAGTTGAACAATGTTCAACTTTTGAAGCTGAGGTGGAAGCGTCAGCCAATCAAATCCCGTGTACGCAAATCTGGCAGTTCAAGCTCTAGCCAATCAAACGGCGTGTATGCTGGGAGAGACATACCGCAGGTCATTTCCTCATATTCCAAAAAATGGAGGAGAAATTAGCGGTAGCGAATCAATCACCCGGTGCTTTATGACCAGACCTACCGGGATATAAACCGGAGGAGCCAGGCATGGAGGGAGGTGGCAGAGACAGTGGTATGTTTTCGCCTGTTTTGGGGAGTTTATATCCAGTTTACTTCGGGCTTTTTGGCTTCGTATGTCGCGGGCGGGAGATTCATGTGATTGGTTGATCGCAAAAAAATCCCCAAGCCTCAGATACGCCCACCTCCAAGATTTTTTTAACGCTGCTGTGGAGACGGTCCGTGAGACTGTCATTGCCAAACATTTAAATAGCTCTCTTTTTTCAATTGAAATGTATTTAGTCCTTAAAGAAAACAGGCAGGATATTCAATTTCAAATGTAACGATAAGTATTCTTTAAAAATAACAACACAATTATTATACAATTATGAAACCTGAAAATGATCACGATAGGGCCCCTTTAAAACACAAGGAGGAAACTGGCTCGATACTTTTGCCCACTAGATGGCGAAAGAATCAACACAGAAGGAAAAAGGGCTGAGGTGAGGTGGACTTTGTGACTTTGAGAGAGTCACCAGTCTAGTGTCCTTGAAATTATTTGATAATGCAAATGACCATGAAGCCTGAGCTTTAGTAACCCTTTTTCTGTGATAACAATCAGTGAGGAAGATTGGCAGCACACAAACAGCAAAGGGTTCATGTTGTAATTCCTCAAAGCAAGAGAGGACATGTTATATTAACTTACATAGGCTACCTTGTTTCACGTGAGTAATATGTAATCTCATGTTGTTTTGGAAATGTCCTACAGTATATTTTAAAAAACAAAACAAGAATCAAGGATGTTCTAGTTCTGATTCTGATATTGAATAAACAAACAATTTTTCTGTAACAAACGGCCTAAAACAGGTTATATTTCCTCACAGATTTTGAAGAGGTGATCCCAGGCGGCCGCAAACTGTTTCCAGTAGGAGATGTAGGGCCAGATGCTCTTTGGGAAGAGGATGATGATGTTGGAGAGACGAAACATTTCACCCACGGAGACGATGAACTTTTGTGTTTCCTCCGGCACCTCCTCGTTCATGCAGCCCATACGAGTCTCAAACAACACTGAACAGATACCTGCGTTTAAAAAGATAGACAACAAATATTATAACTCGTCTGTTTGCTATCCTGGCTACAAAGTGGTGGTTTAGTTAAGCAAAGTTTACACATCTTACACCTTGGCCAATAAAAAAAAAACGAAAATAACAATTCACTTATTTTTTTTTAGTAAAGTGAAACATTGATTTATGGGGATTTTGGGTGATATTATGATCCATTTGTTACCACATTTGTTTGATGGGGTTGGGTTCAATTATTTCACACTAAACTGGTCATTTAAACAAATAGCCCCTGGCTATGTGGCTATATTATTGTCTTCATTGTGTTATTCTTCATGTCTTACACAGCCCTGTTGCCGTAGAAGCATGATATACAGAAAGTTAATCCATAATTTGATAAGAAAGCTGCTGTTTAAAGGAATATATAGACATTTTAGGGAATATTTATCTGCTTTCTTTCTCAGAGTATGATTTAAAAAAGCAATACCACTGTCAAGCTGCCAGTTACATATGAAGCTACGGCTAGTTAGCTTAGCGCTTAGCTTAGCAAAAAGATTGTACACGGAGGGAAACAGCTAGCTTGGCTTTGTAAGCTGTAAACCTCTCTAAAATCATACATGCATCTTTTTTTCACTTTGTTATTATACATATTAATCCAAGTAAAGCCAGACCTGCTTTTTCAGCCTGTTTCCAGTCTTAAGGCTGAGCTAAATTAAGCTAAGCTAACCAGCTGGTGGCTTTAGCTTCATATTTAGCACATAGACACTAGAGCTGTATCATTCTCACCCTTGAGTTATCTGAAGAAAATGAAATAAGCATGTTCCTAAAAATGTCAAACTGATTTCTCTGTGTACATAAACGTGTCAAGGCCAAAACACCCAACAACTGTGTCAGAGTTTACGCCCTGACAGCACACAATGACACTAGTGATGTATTAATGGATGACTAATTCTCTGCTCTGCAAGAATGAAGAAGTGTGGTTGTAATCGTTATTTTGAAAGTAATATCTAAAGTTTGCTCCTCATTCTGCACAATTAATAATTGTATTTAAGTTACATTCTGAATTTAGGGCTTAGGCTACTTGAGTATTTTAGGGTAGCCTACTTATATTTGTATTTATGTAAAGCATCTGGGAAATTCTTCCACCAAGGTAAAAATTAAGGTCCTGACTTCTTAATCATATTAGCTACCTACATTTAAAAGTAGCCTACAATACTTGCTAATTGTACTGTTTTGACACAATCGTACTTGAGTATTTCCATGTTATGGTATTTTACTTCTAGTCCACTACATTTCAGGGACATATATTTTTTGTTTTTACTCCACAACAATTATTTAAAACTTATATGTATTATCAGTTATTTTTGCATATTGAAACACAAGAAATCTATTTAGAAAAATTGCAACATTAACAGGCTCTAACATGATGTCTCAGTGATCAAAACAGGATAAAATATCATTATATAATAATAAAATACTGTGAAAAGGGTCACAAGTATTTACTTCACGTACATTTAGCTAATTATACTTCTTAATTCTACTAGCAGTGGATCATATAAGACCAATTACTACTTTTACTCAAAGTAAAGGATCTAAGTACTTATTTCAGCTCTGTATGTGTGTGGTATGTTGCTTCCAGTTATGTCTAGTACTTTTTAGATGATATCATTTATTCACTTTAAAGATTAACAGAAGTAAGACATCCTGCAGAACACTTTAAATAATATCCATTACACTTGTGTTGAACTATAACACAGTTGATCTTCTGTCATTAATTAATGTAAGATGTATTTCACCAGTAACTTCTTCTAACTGCATTTCTTTCCCTCTATTGCTAATCTAGATGTTTTCTGTTGACTTTCCACAGCTGAATTGTTCACTACTGACCTTCAAAAGCAAATTTGTAGAGTTCCTCCGTCAGGTCGTTGACCATCACTCCGCCTCCGTTTGTATCCCTGAGCCAGGCCACTCTGTGGATGAAGTCCGTCACCACGTCGTTGACGGTGTTCGTGTAGGAGGAGACGTGTTTGGGCTTCAACATCCGAGGGTTCAGGATGCTGCGGATGCGCTGCCAATTGGCCCCCATTCTACCAAAAACCAGGAAGATTAATACAAGGTTTCACGTTTCAAGGCTTTTATTGTCATGTGTATATAGCTACAGTGTAGTTATGACAATGAAAATCTTAGGTCACAGGCTCCTCCAACAGCGCAACACAATAAAACAGAATTATTGAAATATAAAGAAAACTTGTTAAATTTGCCTTATGAAGTTTACTTTATTTTGGTATTTTTCAACTTATTCAACCCAAAATACACATATGAAAAATAATAAATAAACAATGATAGGTCCTTGCTAGTGACAACCTATCAAATGTAAACTGGTTGAAAACATGTAGCCTCAAGCCTAAGCTAGTTAGCCTTAAACATTTTGTATTTTGTAAAAATATACACTAAAATATGAAAGTGTATTCAAAGCCTGAGTCATTGCAATCCTCTCCATCAAAAAACTATTAAAAACACATCATTGAGTGTTGACAGATTGCTTCATTACCATTAACCCAGTGTAGTTGAATATGACTCCTTACTTGCATCTATACTCCACTAAACGTACTGTCCAATAGTCTTGAAAGAGCCAAAGACTAATTGAGTAATTCAGGAGGTTTTAGGGTTTAGAGTTCAGGCTTTTCTCTATTGTAACTAAATTAACTGACGATGACGAGCGCTGCCTCAACAGGTCTGACAAGACAAACCTGATAACAGCGAAGGAAAGCTGCTATTGACAATCAAAAAAAACAATTGTCCTCCTGACTGGGTCTGACTGGAGCCTTAAGATTTGTTATGAATAGAGTACAAAGTACAACGCAACTAATACAGTAGTTTCAGAGGAATTATACTTAGATAGTGTTAAGGAATAATTCTTCTAGATATCTAACCTTTTGCTCTGTGACGTTTTATGATCTGCTCTGACGTCTGTTATCTCCTTTAAGGAAAGGCCTTAGTGCCATATGTGTTGTTGTCACCAGTTTGTGACCGGTCAACTTGTCTGGCACGAAGGGTAATTGTTGTGAGAACGCTGAGGCACTTCTTTATCGGTGTTTGTGGACTCTTTAGGCCTAGGCTCCACGGGAACGAAAAAGATGTGAAATCTTTGAGGCCATGAGTGTCGGACGCAGGTGGCTCAGTGTTCCCAGCTGTTTAGTCTACTCCTTCAGAGATGTTGATTTCTCTCTGTGAACCAGTTAAAAGGTCTAGCATAGAGAGAGGTTCTTCAGAATTGACGTGGCAACTCTACCGTGTGGTCAGAACCTCTGACTCTTTGATTTGTGATGTGAATCCTCCGGCCGAATACTCTGAATAAACCCATCAGTGTTTGACATCAAAGCTCCAACTCTCACCGTGTCTCCTTCCTGAGTCGGTGACTCCATGCATTGCTACACAGAAGTTTCCTCCACAGATAGGATTTATATAAATGACATCCTATTTTAAATAAGTATCTATAACATTGGACAGTATGTTTTGTTCTGCTTTTAACATTACATTAAATGTCACTTGGTAGATGCTTCCATGGCGACTTACATTCATTCAATACTGTGAGCAAACCCCTCAATACTGTGGGGTGAAGTGTTTTTCCCAGGGACACAATGACATGCTGACTGCAGTGGGACTCGAACTTGCCCTCCCCTGGTCTGAAGATGAGCGCAATATTCCACTGAGCCACAGCCTCCCTTTTGAGGCTTTAAGTTAGCCAATTAATTCGGGTATCTTCATAAATTACGAGTCAAATTCCCCAGGTGTTTTTGAGCTGTAAATAACACAAAGAGGGAATTGTGTGCAAAACATTGAATCTCACTCTGACTGAGGAGTCCTTATAGGAGTTTATTCTGAAGGCTGTTTTACAACTACTATGGAATTTACTGTGGACGGGATCAGCTAAATCAAGCTAGAGGATCTATCAGAATCAGAATACCTTGCTCCGTCCCACAGAGGGGATTTTTACATTTGTTACAGCAGAAAGAGACAAAAACAGTTTAATGTTAACTAAGAAGCATGCATAAAAAATATATTAAAGATTACAAAAAATAAACATCTGTAATGATGTAGCAGCCAGATATATATTGCACAGTAATTAACGGCATATATTGCACATAGTTGGTATGGGGGGTTTACTCACTCTGTCAGGGGTCCGTAGGCATGGTTCCTGACCTCCCTGTATCTCCTCCAGTGGGGCATGTCTGAGCGGACTGGGTGCCTCCCCTCCTGCCTCAGGACCTGCTCGATCAGCTCAGCGGTCGCCACGTTCACTATGACCAGAGGCCCGAACGTTGACTTCCACAGAGGACCGTAGATCTTCCTGTGCTCAATCTGTGGGCAGAGAGGGAGTCATTTACGGAGATATTGGATGTGTGATTTACCAAAGAACCTCACATATGGAGCTGCCTCCTGCAGGACGGATCAATTTGTTATTTCCGCAGTGGAATTCATATGTTCAACACGTCAATTTACTTAGGGTCTAAGGAAATATGAACTTGAGTTTTGTTATAGTTGAATTGATTCTCAAACACACTTTAGGTTTTTAACGAGTTAACTTTCTATTTATTTGTTTACCTTAAGAATCCTTTTTTAATCAATTTGTTCAGATTGCACAAAAGTAGTACTATGATGTTTGATATTACAGGGACTGTGAATTTTTAACATGATTTTATGCATATGGTGGTGCTTTCTATTTACACTATGACAGATTGTGGCTATACTGAATGTCCTAAACAGTTTGAGAAGAAATGCAAAGCATGTGGTTAATATTTCTTCTGTGGAAAAACAGGTTCAGCAATTAAAATGTGGAAGTGTAAAGGTAAAGCCTTGTATTATTATAGGCCTACTAGTTTTCATAAATGTATTGTTTGTGTTGTGTAAAACAAATGTCAGGACAATAGATACAAAAACATTGCAGATTCTGATGCCAAGGTAATGTCTTTAAATGTCATGTTTTGTCAATGTAAAACCCAAATATGTTAATATAATTGAAAAACAGAGAAAATCTCCATACTGTATGTGAGATGCTGAAAACAGACTTTTCTGCAATTTTGGCATTACAACATTGTTATAATATTTGTGAGTGTGACTTTGATTTAATTGATTTGATTCAATGCTGCCAGCAACACAAATACACATTTCCCTTCAGCACTGGGTTCAGGGAGTGCATCTTATATGCAAAACCACAGCACACAGACACAACTTCATAACAGTCTGCCTGCACAGAGACCTGCCAAAAGAGGTAAATACATTAATGTATTGTATTTACTAAGGCTTTACGGTCATTTTAACTTGTGATGCAATCGAAGACAGTCTCCATAAATTAAGTTGAAATAAATGATATGGTCGGACAGGTCAAAACCGAACAACAACACAGCCGTCCTTCCATCCACAGAATCCCTCCACGTACCTGCATTTGTTGCGCCTTTTTGAAATAGCCCTTTACAAAAAGCCAGTTCAAAGTGGACATCAAACTCGGTCCGCCTAAATCATCCATGGTTTTCTGTTTCACGGAGTCATTTATCACGGTGGTGGTGGTGGTGGCTGCGTCACGGCGGTGGATGCCCGCATGATTCCCCGCATTCAGGCCGGCTTTAGCCGTCTGAATCCCGGCGTGCTGCTGCCGGTTCACCCGCAGTCCGAGGCTCATCAGAGATGTCCTCAACATTTTCACTGCAGGTGTGTTTTTCCTGCAGCTTCTGAGGTAGAAACAGGCACGACAGCAGTGTGTGTGTGTTGGTATGTGTGTCAGATAATAATGGCTCCCTGTTTATAGCTGCAGGCCGATTTTTAAACCCAGGCTCTGAGCCAACTGTGGACTTTGTTCCCATATCATAAATCTCCATGTTTGTAACATGCACATCCAAAACCAATACGCTGATTATGTACTTATAAGAGAAGATTGATTATTAAAAAACACATCTGAGTAGTGATATTTAACATTTTTAAGAGGTTTAACTTAATAAATAACGTATTTAGGTGGGTTTTGTCTAAAACTAGACAACTCACTAAATAATTTAGATCTTGCTGAGCTCAATATGTAGGTAAAGGTATTTATTGAGTTATTAAGAGTTATTTATTTTCACTATATCTGTAAAGCGTCTTTGAGCACCTGTAAAAGCGCTAACAAAATAAATCTATTATTATTATTAAATGTGCAATGTATTAAAGTGCCTTCTGGAAAACTGATCAATTCAGTATGATTACACACATCCTAACACATGATGACAGCGATATGTATTGTATAATAGTGTATGGGTTCTCAAAAACTATACATTTAAATGGAATATTTATTATGCATTTCATGTATTTGTGCTGCATTCACGGATGTTGCTGCCACCAGAGGGCGACTTCTACTTTGCTATCAGATGGGATAAATCTGTACAATATGCCATCAGAATTTGATTTCAATACTTTTTTTGTGGTTAGTTAATTAGTATTCATGTGTCAAGTAAATTGTATACTTGGATCAATCTTGCAGTGTAGAGCTGTGTGTGTGGGACATACCATTTGTTTATCAGCTATTTTCAGTGCACTGCATTTCTACTCGTGTTTTTAAATTGCAACGACAGTTATTTGACTCAGTTCGTAACAAAGACTTCAGGTTGTAACCGGCTCTGACCTCGTATAATTAGTAGTATAATTACAATTAATAGTATATACGTACACCTATCTATTAGCTTACATGGCACATGGTAACACCTTACAACTGTTTTTGCTTGTGACTCTCAAACAAGACTGTCAACATGTTATCACAAGTTCTGGCCTATAAATGTGATATGAACAACAGCGTGTTTTATTTAGATGCCTAGTTAAAAGTTGAATGGATGACTTCATTGGTTTAAACCGTTATTGGTATTTACAAAATGTGTTGAAATAACACCTTGCTTGTTTGGCCTCGACAAAATCATTATAAGCGTCATAAATGTAACGCAGTCGTTGTACTAATGTTGAATAGAAAATGATCGTTCTATTGTTTCTCTATTCTGATCCAACGGGACAAAGAAAAAAGCTTGTTCCAAACTATGAACCTAATCAAAAGCACTTAATTGACCCCTTGATGGGAAAAAAAGGAAATAAAAAAAGGAAGGAAGCTTACGTCCAGGATATCCTGCAGTAACCGGGCGTAACCTCAGGGTCACTACGATCAGAATTTTTTTTATGTAATCACAATAAAATCCACACATGGTTGCACAAAAAAAAATATATACATATTAAGCAATGCAAAAGCACAAAAACTATTAAAATCTTTATTTTTCTACAAAGAATTTACTCTCAAATAGTTTACAAATGATTCTCTGAGGCCACCTTTCTCCTTAAGGCTGAAACATTTTAAGACATCTTCAACACTTATCATTCAGCTGGGATGCCAAATAAAGGCTGAGACATAGACAGCAACTTCCTGTACGCTGAGTCGGGGCGCAGCAGGGAAATGGGGCTTGTGACAAAACAAGAAGAAGGCCTACGTTATAAAAGGAAAATAACAAAAAGGCACACCAAGTTCTTAAAGACTCGCATTGAGGTGCAGCATCAAAGCATCTGGCTTGTTTTGCGCAATACAGTTCATACTAACTTCCAATTGCTTGGCTTTTGATATATATATAGAAAATATATTAAGCAATTTGCTGATGTTCGAGTATATTTTGAAAATATAAATAATTAGATTCAAGTATTGCAGGTTTAAAGCTACAAAGCATGACCCTCACTGAGTCAACTAAGCGCACTACTTCGCAAGAAATCAGAACTACTTATAAACCGAGATATCACAGCAATCAAGGTTTCAAGACATCTTAAAGCTGCAATGATCAATATTAATTATTACCTTACCTGAAGCAATAGCGAGCATTTTAGCGTCTTTCAGCTGATTGTTTTGGTTTTCTGGCCGACAAACTCCGCTCTTATCGACCTTGTTTTAAGTCAAAAGAGGCAGCTGTGATATGCCAAAATTACTTTAAATAAACGGTAAACTACCCGCGAGTGTCAAACAGAAGACGGACACCTTTAGCAAATAGCTGTGGGACATTTTGGAAGTGTCTAATGGCTAAAGAGCCAGATATATTCCTCAGGGGTTGGTAAAGATCAACACAGCTTTAGTAGAATAAATATCGGACCAAAACCCTTCAGTTTGTTCACAACGCTACGAATGGATGATCAATGGTGACTTCAGGGTGTGTAATGAAGAAACAGTTAGCTACAACTTTCTAGGTAGATAGTAGAAATGTCAATATGCAATTATTTAAATGTATCTAGCTTCAAATTTAAATAGTTTGTTGTCCTGCAGCTGGGTTTACAAATAAAAAAGCTCTACATCTAACGTCACAACAACTCTAAAGGACAAAAGTAGAAGATAAATATGATGAATAATTACTACCTCCATTTATATGTGTGATGTTTTCAATTCGGTTTGTTTTTTTAGCATTATTACAGAAAAACTACTGTACATGATTTTTAATTTTGGCCTGGTCAGAGGTCTGCGCTCTCCGACTGCCGACGGGCTGTCACGGATTAATGTTTCCTATCAGAAACGAATGCAGCTAAACTGAAGCTATCTACAGAAATCTGACCTAAGGCACGACAAACTATCCTAATATTGCTAAAAGCTGAAATGCAGGAACTCCAGAGGTGGTTAGGGACTGATTGATGGGGAAAAATATCCATCTGCACGACATACTGTAACCACCGCTGTCTTTCTGCCTCTGATATGCTTAATGTGCACCCAGTGAGATGAAACACTTCAGATGGTTTGTTATTTACGTCTGCTTCTCTTACACCAATCCCATCATGCCACTCTGAAATAAGGCATCCTTGTAACATACAGTTTTCACACCAGAAAAAAAAAGATCACAAAGCAAAAAATGTGACGTAAAAATAGAAGTTTGTTGGCGGAGAAGCAACAAATGATATTTGCTAGCAGAAATGTGAATATGTCAAGGACAGAGTCCCGTATTAAAGGGAGTAAGACACTGACAGGCCTGTTCCCTGTTCCTTCACTCCTCACTGAAGATCCTACTGATGTCCAAACACGTCCTCATGTCGTTCAGTCACTCTCACTGCCGGATTCACTCAGCTGGAGGTCACTCTCTGCAACACAGGTACGTAGCAAAATGAACAATGAGATTTAGATGCTTAAATACATGAAGCCGTCATTAAACAACATTATATTAGAGTTCCATTTCTTCACTATTTATCTTGGTTTCATTTCACTCTGTTGTTTTATCCTCTTTCTGTTACTTAACAGTTTGATGTAAAGTAGACGTGGAGCTAAGTCCCGTATCTGTAACTGTCTCTGTCCAAGAGTTCAAATGTATTCAAGAAAGATAAATGTAATCTTTTCCAAAACTAACAAGATCTGATCTAAGAAAATATTCTGCTTAAATCCATTTCTGTTGATGCTTAGTTCTGTTTTCTCTGCCTTTCCTTTTTATTTCCTGCTTCTTCACACACATGGGGTGTTTCTCAATCGCGAGTACGCTTGCTTGGTAGCACATGTCTTCCGAGTCACTTGCTTCAGAAGCGAGGCAAGAATACTTCCTGGCATTCGGAAAACGAAGAGTGGAACAGGCTAGCAAGTGTGCGTCATACGAGAGGCCCCGCCTTACATTTTCCACCACAGATTTGGGGAAATTGGTCCGTGCGCAAAGCATTGTGGGGATTTTAAGACCGCGGAGTCTACACATGTGCAGCCTCGAAATTTCTCCTAACGAAGTACGCCGGGCTCAGTAGAATTTCAAGTATGCTGGAGATTGGAACAGTACTTCGGCGGCACTCGATGACATAGTATGCTTGAAATAGTGGCTCTGGAGCAGCTTTACTCGAGATTGAGAAACACCCATGCTCTCCAGTACAGGTTAGCTCTGAGTGTTAGCGATGCTAATGTAAACATGCACCGACCACATTACGTCCAAAACAGTCGGGCATTGTTTCTGATAGCAACGTTTCTGATAGGGCCGTGGGTGTAAAGCCAGCCTACATTTGAGATATTACGTCATATCGGACGCAAATCTGGATCAGCTCCGTTGTAGCCCCGTTTTTAGAGATTTGGGTACGGAGGAAAAGAGAGAGGGTTTTATTTTCTGACGCTGCGTGAGTTCCCTGACACACCGGGGACACATCTTTATGTATAAAAGACATCAAAAAGTGCATTTTGCATGATAGGTCCCCTTTAACCAACTGATGTGTCGACAAGTGCTCTTTATTTTAAGAAAATAAAATGGTGTTGTTGAAATATATTAATTAGCTTCCCCCACCAGTTATTTTATCCAAGCATACATTTCAGACGGCATGTTAAATCTCCCACATGTCAGACATTGCATTCCCCTCTTACTTACTGAAAATTGTTGTCACTGTTACCGTTATAAAAAGCTTGATAAGATAAAGGCGCGTCTGGCTGAGAAAGAGTCAAACTGACTTTTATAGTTTTGCTGAGGAGTACTTACTGAGAGTGTTAATGAGTCCTCCTCCACTCTCCTGTGGGCGACTGTTGTTGGTGGTGCTGGTGGAGATGATGGGCATACTGGGCATACTGGGCATGCTGGGCATACTGGGCATACTGGGCATACTGGGCATACTGGGCATGCTGGGGTTAACTGGAGCCGGGGGGGGAGGTGCTGCAGAAGTCCGCTCGTCATCAGAGTCGCTGTTGCTGGAGCTGTCGTCGCTGCTGGAGGACGAGGAGCTGTTGGAGTCTGAGGAGCTGTCGCCGCTGCTCAGCTGGTCCATGACCCGCACCTCCGCCATCAACTCTGTGATCACAGGCAAACAGAGATGAAGGAAATAGTGAACGTAATCCAAATTTACAGGAAAGAGAGTGCGCAAAATAAATAAGATCAATGACTTAAAGGTCCCCTATTATACTGTTTTTCATCAATATGTTACAGGTCTCAGATATATACAGAACATGTCTCTGATTGGCTGAAACACCAAACAGATCATTGCAGCATCCCATAATCCCCTCTGTTTCAGCCCTGTTTCAAAAGTGCTGATTCTCTGTCTGTTACTTTAGATGAAAATAAGGAGCCACTCCCCACGCCCCTCTGAGAGATATTTAGTTAAAAATAACACAATAAAAGAGATTCAAGTGATAAGGTGGGGGGGGGGGTTACCTTGGTTGGTGATTGGCTAATGGTTACACAAGACAAAACATCGTTATGACATCATAAAGTGGCCAAAATCTGATCAGCTCATTTTCAGACAGAAATGTGTTTATGTATAAAAGACATGAAAAAGTGGATTTTGCATAATAGGTGACCTTTAAGCAGCATAACATAATTAGCTTGAACCATCAACATGTATGCTCAGGAACGTCCCTATAATTGGAAGATATTTTGCCGAACACCACGTTACCTCTCTCGATGTCGTCCATGGGAGACGCCGGGGAGGTCTTCTCTTTGGGAGGAGAACTCTTGGAGCTGGTGGAGGTTTTGTTGCTGCTGCTGCTGCCGCTGCTGCTGCTGCTCTTCGGCTGCTCCTTCAGGCGACTGGTCTGCTGCTCCATGCGAGCTTGGATCTTACTGCTGCCCTCAGCCCTGGGAATGCACCAGATACATACACAGTAAGCAAAGGCATGTACAATGTTTGCTGAAAATCTGGTACAATAAAATGTGAACACAAAACTCCGTCAGTAAGATAAGACTAGAAAAACGTGAAGGTTTTGAACATTTGAAAAACCAGAAATACCATTAAAATGGTATTCTTTGACAAAAATATGATGGCAAAATAGCATTATTTGGGATCTATTGCTCTGTTTTGGTTATACTTGATAATATGCTTTTTTGTACAATAAAATAGTTTGGAAATTTCTTCTGGAAACATTGATTTTAATTTTTAAACGCATATATTTTTCTTTGGCATTATATAATTTCTTATTTTTCGGTGCTTGTGTTTCTTTTTTTTTACTTTGTACAGCACTTTGACACAAACAAGGATATAGTCATAGTTTTATTGTGTCGCTTTTCTGATATGTTCACATTTTCACCTCATTTAATCTGTAAATTAGCTTTATTTTTTAGATGTAGATGTAAACATGTATGAAGACACTTGTGTTCAAATAACAGATGGTCAAATGTCTCAAAAAGTAGAACAGTAATAACATAAATTGCATGTCATTTTTTAACCCACCTGGTCTTCTTCACAGCTATATTGCTGTTGAGTTTCTCCAGTCTGTACTCTCCTGTGTCATGGTTCACAATGAGGATGCATTCTTTCATATACGGCCTCTTGGACCCCTTGAAGACCGTCACTGGAGCACTTGATCCCTAAAAAATGTAAATAACACAGGAAGGATTGTAACCGTTAACGAAGTCATAAGTCAGAGTCCCAGAGAGTTTCCCTTAGAGGGTTTTGACCAGACAACCAAAAAATGTTATTACTAGATTTTCTAAATATCATACAATTGTTGATAATGTGTTAATGGAAGCTAAGGCACTAAACACAAAGAGGACTTCATAATGCTCATCAATTACTGACCTCTAAATTGGGTAAAGTAATAGTGACTTGCTCTCCTTTGCCCACTTCAAGCTCTCCTTCACATGATGTATCGATGGAGGCTGGCTTGAAGTCATCTGTAAAAGAACAGAAAGTATTTGCACAATTTATACATAATTAGTGTGGTTATATTAACAACGGTTGCAAAAATATAAACAAAACAACAGCAACTCTGTGCTGCAGTTGTGTACCGTCACCACCAGATGGCGGTAGTGTACAGATTGACGCAATGCTAACATTAGCTTACATTTTGACAGCTGGAGCATCAACGGCTTCTAATAGTTACGTTAACAAACGTATTAAGACGACAAAGAAGACACATAACTTTCAACTTACTGAAACGGGAAGGCGGATTCAACAAAGACACAAGGCTATTAAAATCTGTCTAAATGTCAAACAGCTGCCTTCGTATTTTAAAGCAACAAAGCTAACTAGCATGCTACTGTTAGCTATGTATCTTATAGACACAAAGCTAGCTAGCATGCCACTGTTAGCTATGTATTGTATAGCTACGAAGCTAACTAGCATGCTACTGTTAGCTACTGTAAAAAGACAAGATTCAAAATCCCACTTACATCGCACCGTATGGTAGCCACTTTTAGGGTGTTTCTCAAACGTCTCTCCTAATTTCAAGACGTGTTCTTGATTGTCAAAGTTGGAGTATGTTGTCCCATTCATTCTGATAGTTTCATGAGCCGAAACTTTCTGCTATCCTTTTTTTATCCGATAACCATGTACGGCAGAGACTTGAACACCTCATTGGTACCGTTAGGTCCCTCCTACTCTTCGTTATGATTGGTCAAGTGGAGCGTTCCCCTTTGTTTGATTGGTTGGACGTCTGTCAATCAAGATTTGATGATGATGGAGCAGCTGTAATGCAAATGTTATGGGTTTCTATTCCCACAAGTTAACCCATTTAAAAAGAAATTGACATAATATTTAACACATTAATCTCAATATTTTTTTACATGTTAAAATATATTGTATTTATTTTTATTTTACTATTATCTATTTGATGAATGTCAGTATGCATTAGGATTCTGGAACTCACATGATTATTAACAATCAATCAAATAATATTGGATTATACGGGATATTTGTAAAAAAAAAATTGACTTTTTTAGACATTTTTGGGAATATTTAATACACAAATATTCAATTTACTAAGATTTATGTTTTTGTTTTTGAAAATGTTCAAAATATTCAACTTATAAAACCAGAAATACCTTTAAAATGATATTCTTTCAGAAAGAAAGGACGGGAAAATTGCATTATTTGGATCTATTGCTCTGTTTTGAGACATGATATTTGATATATATGCTGTTTTGTACTATAGACTTTATAAAAAATGTGTTATGTTATTGTTTCGAAATTTCTTCTGAAATTTTTTTATTTTTACGCGCATATATTTTTCTTTGGCATTATATATTTTCTTAGTCTTTCAGTGCTTATGTTTATTTTAATGTTCAACCTATATTATTACTCACTTTTTTTATTTTCATTTTGTACAGCACTTGGACACAATTTTAAGATGAAAGACAATTACCACCGTCTATAAATATAATTTCCAACCCTAGATTGCATATTAACAAATAAAGATAGCTCAAAATGAGAATCAGTATCCATAGTAAATATAAGAATCTCGACCCACAGATCCTAACACTGACCAAGTACCTTTTACACTAAATGAGCATCATCACTGGGCTGAGCTGCTAACATAATTACTGAATGATTCAGACTGGCTGAACCGCTGAAGGTCTGGCAGTGAGAGACTGATGAACTGCAGCAGAAACACTTACTGACTGACTTCAGCTCCACAAGCTGCAGGGTCTCTGAGTGAAAATAATCTGTTTCCTTTCTTTAAACTGTTAATGATTCCTAAGCCTTAAATTCCTGCCCTCTCTGCACTTTACTGAGGCCATATGCTCTGCTGCCTTCAAGGATCAACATCTAAAACAAGGGGAATGTGGAGATTACACGGGCGTATTATCACCAGTTTGTCACTCTGTGGTCTTCCTGTCCACATAAACAACATGTTATGAGGGTGGTTGAGTAGTAAGGTATTGGAAGAAGATTGGTTTCGGAGACACTAGGGATAATCTAAAATAGAAATAGGCAACAGAGTGGTAATACATAGCTCAAAGTGAAGTTCACAATTAGCCCACTCTTTCACCTTTGACCCATGACCTACAGTCAGTCTAGGGTAAGTTTCTTCCACTGCAAAAAATGTAGACTATAGCACATAGAAATTGGTCTCAAAGGGGTCATAAAGTAAAGTGTATAATACACTGAATAGCTTTAAAACAATGCATAATATATGTTAATTATTATATAGTGTTCTCCTTTGTTGGGGGGTTATGGAGGGCCACACAAAACTTGAACTTTGAATCAGGGGATAGCAAGTTCGAGTCCCACTGCAGTCAGCATGTCGTTGTGTCCCTGTGCAAGACACTTCACCCCAAATTGCTCCTGTGGGGATTGTCCACAGTATTGAATGTATGTAAATCGCTTTGGATAAAAGCGTCTAACAAGTGACATGTAATGTAATAATACAAATAATAATAAAATAGGATTATTGTATTTCAGGCAATACAAATAAATAAAACAAAAATAACAAAGTATTCATTTATTTCAGGCAATAATAAAATAAGTAAATAATTAGTTTTCTCATGTTTTGTGTGATTATAATCCTATTTTTTTATTTATTCTAGTGCTGTGTAGACGGAGCTGGATGACAACAAGAGGAGTCCTGTTTCTCTGTATCTCTTGTGAACAGAAAGCAGCAGGGGTCTGTTTCCATGGACGAGGCAAACAGTGGCTGTCCTCCTCCAGAGCTATCGGTTACTGCGGTGGTTGCCCTTGGACTGCAGGAGGTGGTTTTCTGTTTCCGAGCAACTATCCATTATTATCAACAACACTGAGGGGGGAGCCACAATACAGAGTTCCCAGGTTGTAAGATAGTAGCAGCGGTGAAAGAGAGATCCTCCTGTGTGTCCGCCTCTTTCTGTTTCTGCAACGGTGGAAGTCTCAGAAGTAAAAGTCCTGCACTTACTTAACCCTTAGATGCATAAGTGAGTCTTTTTTGACCCGGTGAGGTGGTTTTCTTGAAGTATCTTTGAAATTACATTTTACATCATTTCATATTCCAGCTATTCCTCAAAGAACATGTTTGGGATATCATGCCATTCAAATTTTACATTTACATTTTAAGAAATTGTAGTTTTTGTATTTCTACCCCAAGCTTCCATAAGTGGGTCAAAAATGACCCGCATGCATTTCCTATGGGATCCTCTGGGAACCTTTGATTCTTATCACCTGTTGCTGTCAGGAATACATTCACTGTGGACCACACAGACCACATCACAAGTGACACCTCTCAGGAAGATTATTTTACACAGCAAGATCTGATACCTGTCAGTATAATAATAATAATACATTATATTTGTATAGGGCTTTTCAAGGACTCAAAATCACTTTACAATATAAGGGAAGGTTAGGGTGGGGGGTATAGGACTATCAAACTTGATCAACCGGCATGGATTGATGGTGGGGTATGAGTAGACAAGAGGAGAAGAGATGAGTTTTGAAAAGGGACTGGAATACTGTGAGGGTCTCAGAATAGCGGAGATCTTTGCATCAATATGTTCAAAACGTTTTTTTTCAAAATGTAAAAAAAATGTCTAAAATTATAAATAGTGAAAAATTAAATATAAAATATTTCTATTGTGAACCAAAATATAATACTAAATATTATACAAGTGATTTTTCTTAACCAAAATGACAAAAATGGCATAAAAACACATATTATTCTAATACGGGTCCTTTTAGACCCACTTATGGAAGAGTGTAGGGTCCAGTCACTCGTGCATCTAAGGGTTAAGAGGCCCTATTCTGCTTTTTATGGGGTTTCCCTTTCCTGTAGCGTGTTATAGGTTTCTGTGCATGTAAAGGGTCTGCAAAGGCTAAAATCCCAAAGTTACCTCCAGAGTTTTCTCTCCGAAGCTGCTTTTAGTTTTTTAGCTCCCCACAAATGGAACAAAACTTCCAGAAAACCTGAGGTCTTCTGAGGAGTTCTTTTAAGTCGCGGCTAAAAACACTACTTTTCTCAGCTGCTTACCCAGAAGTCTTTTAACTTATTTTAGCACCTACTGTATTTACAATGTTGTTTTTAAACCATTCTGTATCTCTTTTATGCATGGTTTTTATGAATCTGTTATTCCATTACGTTTATTTATTGTGTTCCTTTCTGTTGTCTTCTTATTAAGTGTTCATGATGATGTAATGCACTTTGAATTGCCTCTGTGTGCCTTACCCCCCTGCCTGAAACTTAAATTACAAGTTTTACCATACAAATATCAGAAAACCCGAAAAAATTCTGAAATCCTTTATACATCCCACTGCACGTAAATGTATGCAGATAAAAAAGGCAAATTTGCATATAGTTAACATATTACATTTAGAGCACATGTGTCAAACTCAAGGCCCGGGGGCCAAATCAGGCCCTTGGTGGATTTAATTTCGGCCCGCAGGATAATTTCTAATTACTATTAGATCTGGCCCGCCGGTATATTGCACGCACACCTTCACTCAATCCTGAGGACTTCCTCCGCTCAGAGCCTGACCCCAAACATTGATGACCTTGCACCTAAGATGAAATGCCAAGTACAGTATCTGGCTTGAGCTAGCATCACAGAGCAGCACACTGAGTTTACATGGATGTTTCCTTCTGCACTTTTTCTCTCACGACAACAGGGCATGTTTGGTTTTCTTTGAGGGAAATAGTTTTTTTGAAGCTGTTGTTGGCCTGTGGAAAAATGTAATCATGAGAAATGACTCCGGAAAAGCTGCAGATAGAGCCATAAGAAATGAATGCAACTGATTATTTCATGTTTAATGTTGTTTTTATAGGCAATCATTTAAAGGTGGGGTAGGTAAGTTTGAGAAACCGGCTCGAGATACACTTTTTGTTATATTCCATGGAATGCTCTTAACATCCTGATAGCAATGAATATCTTAAGTGCTTTGACAAAAAATCCATTACAAAATGTCATCTGTGGAAGCCGTAGTACTGTAAAAAAGTACGACCAATCATCTTAGCCGGCCCGGCTAAAGTAACTGGATGGCCTACCTGCCTGTCAGCCTTCCATCTGTGCACAAACTTATCTCGTGCCCTGATTGGTCATGTTCGCGTTCGTGTGTGTTGGAGGAGGGGCTCTGTAAGGAAGTGGCAGATTTTTTCCGGTTGTGTATTTTCAAATTCTTGCGCACCCGAGCTGGTTTCTCCAAAATTACCTACCCCACCTTTAAGCGTTGTTAATTCCAGATTTATTATGTGCAATAAGTCGACTTGTACCAATTTTTTCATTTTGGCCCACTGTGTATTTGAGTTTGACACCCCTGATTTAGAGGTAAGCATACATTATTAAAATCAAATAATAAATCACATAAGATTACAGTTGCAGCATTATGAAGTATATGCATGTGTATTGTGTTAATATATACTTAAATACTAAAATTAAGAGTACTTGTAAAAGTAAACTCAAAAATGTAATCTCAATTGTAAATAATGGATTCTCGACCCGCCTGTCTTAACGTTGACACACTTATTTCAGAACCATATCAAATCTTGGATTATCATTAATGATGCTTTAGTGCGTTTCACAATAACGACACTGATTAAAGAACTGGTATATATGTTAATACTGGTTTGATCTTCCTGTATAATTGCAAGTTAGATAGAATCTGTAATGGTGTTGTCAT